TATGGCGAGGTGATTCGGTTCTGCCGAGATCCTCCCTGCTATTGCCATCTTCATTACGCCAGAAACTACCAGGAACTCGTCCCTATACCTAAGGTTTTCGAACTCTACTAGTACCTGCATGGCAGCCCCTTGAGTACCGCCTGACTTGCCGGTTCATCTAACGGGCCGAAACACTCTTCAGTAGTGCATGCCCTGGCACCCCTGCCATTCTCAAGAGATCAGTAACGCTACGACTCGGGTCTCGTTCCCTCTGGCGTGCGACAGCGCAGAAGGGTTCTGTAATGCCCTTTACGACGACATTTCTGTGTCTATCGAGGGCAATTTCACTGCTAGCTTCCAGTCTCAGCATGTTCTTGGCTAGCTGATCCAACTCATGTTGTAGCTCCACCAACTTCCTTTCCTGCTTTTGGGCCTGGGCTTCTAAGACTTCGATATCCCTCTGAAACTTATCGGAAGCTTCTCTACTGTGCGATATTTCTTTCCCAGCTGTAGTGTAAGCCCTGCGTCTTATCACTTTGGCAGTTCCCGTGGCTGATATCAATGACTCTGAAGCTATCCGCTGGGTCCCCTGCAATAACGCGGTTGCTCTGCACGTCCTAACACAGGCAGCACATACCCACATCAGAAATTTGTGCCCAGTATAGAGCCCGTATACCCTTTTGGCTAGGGTAATACATTTCTGGTGGTACCAATTGCTGCAACCATCGCAACAAATGCCGTCGAGCACATCCTGATTGCAATCGTGGTTCCTACATGGGAACTGTTTCAGTACAGGTGTTTACCCTCCCCTCTTGTTTCGGTTCTCTTAACAACCATTTGGCTAAATACTATGACTCGAGAACAGCTAAGTTACGGAGAAAACTATGCAGCCTATCAATCTTACAATTGATCACTCTATAACACAATGACATCCTGAAGAAAGTAATACTAATATTACATTATGTATACTAGGAGAACTAATATGAACTAATTTGAGCACAAGACAAACTTATCGAGCACGACAGAATTTCGAACCTGATTAGATGGGTAGTGTACTTGCGTTCTATCTGCGAGGTCCCGGGTTCGATCCCTAGTTGGGTCGATGGATTCGTTCACTGCTGATGAAACCCAACCATGCCGAAACAGCTGTCCAGCTTTTCAGCTAACACTTCATTTAAACGAATTCATAATAACAAATTGTTTTTTTTGTTAGTTTTACCGTACAGATTTTTTGAAACGATTGCCGAATAGAACTGTATTTTTCAATCTTCAATTCGAGAAATGGAAGTCCGAACTAGACTGGTCGCCAGTAGTTTTGAATTCCATCCTGGTTTGAAAGGTAGATGGACCATGTTTAAGAATGCACCGTTTCATTTCTATGCTACACTGAAGTCCCGCGCTTGATTTTACATGGGTGAGGGGTGGATTTCTGACCACAATGGCCATCAAGTTGGAGAGAACTTCATTGATCTAAGCTCAACTCAAAAAATGGGTTGCTTAAACATATGATAAATAGGGAGTTAGCACGTTATCTGATAGAAAAAGGTGAACCACTAAAATCTACAGACTGTCTCTAGTCAATCGGATACTGGAAGTTTTGAAAACCAACCGATGATGATACTTATAGTTCACACAATTCCCTCGATCTGTTCTTCGTACCGGATCACATCATCGATTCATTAAGTCCCGCCAACCAGCTGGATTGCAATGACAGCTACGAGCAGGGACACAAAGCGTTAATCATAAACAAGACCGAACTTTGCCGTTTGTGATGATTACTAGGATCAAGTGTGCTGTAGTTTAGTCAACTGTCTACAAACAAGTTATTCAGAAAGGAAAACAGGTGGAGATAAGGTCAACGAGCACCGAAGAGAAAACCGAGCCAACTATTTGTCCCGGTAGTCACTTGGCTCCTTATTAGTGAGAGAGANGGCTGCTACCATGATACGCCCATTGATTGGTACATGGAATAACCCCATACGCTAGAATATAGAAGATATTCGAACGATATAGTCATCTAAGGCTCCCTAGGTCGGGACCAATGACTCACCTGGAGCAATAGTCATTACTCGTATACCTTCTCTGGTCAAGTCCCGTGCAATAGGCAACGTCATGGCAACAACCGCACCTTTACTGGCTGCGTAGGCTACTTGTCCAACTTGGCCTTCGAAAGCAGCTATACTGGCAGTGTTGATGATTACCCCACGCAAGTTGTCTTCATCTGGTTCGTTTTCGACCATAGCCGTTGCGGCCATGCGAATCATATTGAACGTGCCAATCGTGTTCACCTGCATACGGAAAAAAAGTCCCAATGAATACCACGCTTGAGACAAGGTCATAACGATGAGAACCAAACAAGCCAGCGAGCAGAAACGCAAGATATTCTATCATGAAAATTTCTGCGAAAAGAAACCTTCAACAAAAACTGTGTTTAATTTTTGAGTTGTGAGCACCAACTTATCTCTTCTCTTATAACCCGTCTATGGCTTGATGCATTTCCCCCCATAAATCTATTCATTTTTAAAAGCTCAGTTAAAATTACTTACTGATTAGTTCAAAGCCAAATCCCACTCAGATTGACATAAGTTCAGTGATCGAATTCGGGTGAGTCAATCCGCGCATTTGAACCTCTCAAGTGCAACGCACACACAACTAGTCAATTTCTCCTCTGGATTTATCAAATCCAAGTTTTATTTTCATTCACCATTCAGTTTGTCCATGTGCAATACAGATATAAGGAAAAATAACATTTAGTGCATCGCAAGGTAGAAAAACTGAATTTGTCTCAGCTGTAACCAAACATCTTGGTACCCTTCTAAGGCTGCATTAGCATCTTCCCTTGCATCACAAACCCCTCGAGGGATCTGGTTTTTGAGCCTTTCGCTTCCTTCAACTCTACTGTTTCTGCTTCTTTTATAACCCGAGCTATCTGCCGTATGACTTGCCGGTCCCCCTCCCCACAGATGACTTACGTTGGCAAGCGCCAGTCAGGTCTTCTGTATGTAGGCTGATACGTTATCCTGATAAGTCCACCGGGCGAGATATGGCTGCCCAGATAAGAAAATTGTCCAATTGCTCTATAATTCCTGTTAAAGTGAGGTTGGAGGCTGGACCGATCCAGTCTTCTAGTGATATTCGCATTTTTAAGATGCAAACGGCATAGTGAACAACGCTACGCTGACACTCAAACCATCGGAAAATCTTGCAACTTACCCGGAGCTTCACTTGGCAGTACAATGTCCTCTGTATATTTTGGATCAGTTTGTCTTTTGGAAGAAAATATGGTTGATGAGACCTCGACCAAGTCTAAAATCAGCCTGGTACATCATTCATGTTCGGCACACAATCGGAGAAATTTAAAGACATTGTTGACAACTAATTTCTCAGTCGTTTTTACAAGACTTAATACTTCTTGAAAAATCTTCAGTCGGAACCGGTTCGCCCTCCCACACCGAATACAGGAGATTCGTTAATAACAAAACCATGGTTGAAATGCTATCCTTAAAATCCGATACGGACTGTTCACTCGGGCCTTATGCGTATTTTCCGGGAAACCTCCATTTAAGATGGAGTACTGGTATCAACTACGAGCAGTCGAGGTGGATTGATAGGTCCAATATCAATGAAGGCGAATTGAAATGAGCCTTGAAATGTTCAGTTCATCGAGCAAGACGGTGTTGCTGAATGAGTCAATGTTCCATTGGTTACATCACACTTTTCTTGATTCTATATTCCTAATTAAATGGAAGAGTGCGAATGTTACCACTAGAGGCAACCTTCTCCATCTTTACATCTTGTTCCAGTCCCCTCTCGCAAATACTCTTCATATTATTGATGAGCCGGTGCATTAGTGATTTGGGTGCTTGTTTGCATTTGAAGCAATAGTTCTGCGGAAGGCGACCGTGGACGACATCTATCCTTCGTGTTTTTATCGCGTGACAGAGTTCGACGATGGACACTTGGATAGCTTATTTGGTTAAGGCTCGGCGTTCACTGAGTCCTCCGGTTGGCGGTTGAATTCTGAGACGGTCAGAGAGCCCTACTTCAAATGCCGATTTGCAGCTGTCGCTTACAGTCTATTGTGGGTATCCATTCCCTGCGGCTTTGTTGCGACTGTTCACTAGGTGTGAGGAGAATTTTGGCACGTAACAATGCACGGCCCTTATCAACAGGTTTTGACTATCGAGGATGGCAATCTTGAATGGATCCCTGCCAGCAATCGCAGATGGCGAAGTGGTCCATTCAAGTCTATCGCTGTGATCAGATATGCGGCTATCATGTAAAGCGGTGTCATTTCTTGTGGGAAAAGAACAAACCGCGGTCCGCGAAGTTCAGTTCTTACAACCATTAACCATACACTTTCGTGCGCTGGTTTTGGTTGCCAATTTGGATAAAACAGCGGAAGATAACGTATTTACATAGACTGAAGCTACAAGAATAAAGAGTAGATGCATGAGCACCACTATTGGCGACACCCAGCCATATCGCTTAGTGTCTCTCTAACCATCCGTGACCATGATCTTGGGGTCCCCAGTCGGGGAGCTCAACGGGACCCATGTGACCGAGTCTCCTGGTCAGGGTTTTCATAAACTTACGCCAGGTCTTAGGTTGACCGCCTCTGACCTTTTACCAATCGCTAACTGTCTCGACAAACATCGCTCGCCGTGAAAACCTGTCTGGTGACATGCGCAGCACATGTCCTAATCAACGTAGGCTATGGAAGTCGACCACTTGCTCCAGTGGCGACTACGGTTGCCTAAAAATTTGCGCCTGACCTCAGCACTGCTCTTCCGGTTACCCCACCAGACTCGTGCAATGCGACGTAGACAGCGGTGTTTGAACACCGACAGTCTGTTTTTATACTGTTTCTGTAATGGTCAAGGCTCTGCACTGTACAGCAGGACTGGTCGAACTGCTGCAGCATACACTCGACCGTTCACAGACAGCACGATGTCGCGACGGCGACACAGGTGTCGAGTTTGCAAACGCCAACCGAGACTTCCGTATGCCCTGATTCCAAACCAACCAAGAAGAGGATAAAGTTGACGCCTGTATTGCTAAGGAGGTCGAAGCGAATTCATCTATCTCTGAGGTCTGTTTCGAACCTATAGTTATCACCAGCAATCATTCAATTCCCCACTGACCTATTTTTCAAGTTTTGCCCTTAGTTTTTTCCTGTGACGTGGTAGACAGCTTCACTATGTTTCGGTTCTATACCACCTCGAACCCAGTGGGGGCCTTGAGTGGTTCGTCAATCTAAATCCCGGGAATTCGACTGCCGGTTTCCATTGCTGAACAGCGGATTTTCGCATCTATGGGGTTTATCCCAACTGCTGACTCGATACTCACTCCTGTTCAACATACAAACATGAACCGAAAACTATTCCAGTGAACACAAGGAGGATTCAGCCCCGTTTACACCTTATTCAGACACGCATTCATACATCAGCGTTCCGGTTGCACCATACACTGTACAAAACTGTTCAATCTATGGAGGATCCACCTCCTATACAGATTTAGGTAACTGATGAGTAGTTTTACCCTAGACCAACGGGTGGCGAAAAGCAACACCTGGTTTTTGGTTGCCTTCAAAAGTATGGTCGGGAGTGTCTGAGATTGTGGCTGGTCACCCTCACCTTGCACCTTGCGAAATGCTCCTATAGGACCAAGTGTCTCGAATAGCCTCTGCTGAGGAAGCCTTACTCACTGCCTTCTCGTAGCGGAGGTATTTTCCAACCAAGGTGAGAGGATGAAAAGCCAACATTCGGGCTATAACCCGGTTGGTGGACCACTGGTAGTTCACCTGGAGTTGGCAAAAACCCCTGATTCCAAACTAACCATGAGGAGGCGTACGCCTCATACACTTCCTGGTTGTGGCAGTGGTCACCGGCTCGATTGGACATCGAGGTGTATTGAGCACCTAAGACGTTTGAACCCGTCAAAAGGGCGTATGATCCGATGAACTGGACACCGGCCGCCAATGGACTGCGGTTTTCACACACCGCCCCAGTGCCTTGCGGGTTAGGCTTTGGCTAGCCAAAGGCTCCGGTTGTAGATTCCCCAAGAAAATTCACCTGCCTTGGCCTGGCAAACCCAGCAGTATTTCGCCCACATGCAAATCATGGAACGTTCTTCTTTTTCAATATAAATATATGGTTTGTGGTTCAACTGCAAGCACGAAAACAAGGTCTCCAAAAGTCGGNAGTCGGTACCTCGGCTGCTTTGTAGAAATATGTTAATCACCACCCTTCTAGGATGCTGATGTAACGATTCTCTGACCGGCAGTCTCCCCACGGCAGTTTGCACATTTTTCTCATTTGTTTTCCCGAAGTTTCCAGGTAGATCTATACTTCCTGAACGTGCTTAAAATGATCACGGACACTCGTATTGCTAGCAGCTGGACAGGCTCAGTTATCAACCAATCCTGTGTAACTGTGGACTATCAGAACATGATTATATAACCATGGTATACTTATGAGAACCAGTAAGGTTACGAACACATGATCACACCTAGTTATCCCAGGAACTAAACCGAGATTATTCTTATCCTTCCAAGATAAAGAACCTTTCTTCTCAGTCGGTCACAATAAAGTGTACCATCGAAGTTTGACACACCGCCATCACTTGGTGATAGTGATCTTTCAGGGTAAAATTCCTGGTTAGAATTAGCGACTTGGATACTTCCAGAGTTGGGTGCTTTTAATGAGCTCGGAACAATTCTCCACACTGAGCTCTGCATCACACGCTTTGATCAGACCTACTTTCAGATTTCCCTTATCGTTGTTAAAATACTAGTCGAAGCTGGCGTTAACCCGTAGTCCAGAAGTCTCAGGGTACTTTCTCTACACTATACCCAACTTTGGTTTTATTTTATCTGGAACGGACTACGGGAAAGAAAGTGGGCGAACTCTAGTGGAAGGTTCTGACAGACAAATAACAACCAAGTCAAGTTTCATGTTATCCCAAAATAATGGCTGAATACGACAAAAACTTCTTTTGAGAAAAAGATATTGCATGTGATAATTTTCTCATATGGGAATAAATAACCCACAGCTAAGTTAGGATAAATAAGCATTAATGAGCATATCTGAATAACGCACTCTGAGTGTCAGTTACATATCAGAATACTTTTCCAAACGAACTTACCCTCAACACATGCTCGAAGGAATCCAATGGATGGGGCTTCTTGAGTTTTACATTGTATGTTTTACATGCAAGAGCTGCACCGGCGCAATTCACCAGAATATTTAGCTTTGAGAATTTATTCTTCGCTGTTTGTACTGCATTTGAGGCGTCCGCTTCGGAAGCTACCTAGATTTGTTACATGGTTGCGAATAAAAGCAACCTACATCGGTTGGGCAAAATACGCAATCACTTTCAATTTCAGTGAAACTGGGAGATTTTTGAATATCACAAACCAAAACTTTACAGCCACTGTCTAAAAGTCTGTAATTGAGCAAATAGAACACTATGAAAATAAACTTACTTTTTGGCAGTTGCAAGTCCTAATCCAGAACAACCACCCGTTACGATAGCCGCAAGACCCTTCAGATAAAAATGACACGCAAAACAAGCAACCCACCTTGAGCGACGCCATTGTGGATACAGTTCCACGTGGATCAGTCACGCATCATACACAGTGTGGTGACCTTGGCCTGTCTAGCCTCGTCCTTTTCAGCCAATCAGTGACATGATAATGGACCAATCAGGTTGTAGGACATATGCATTCGCCTCTCTGCCTGACCGTTGGCTGCGCTACGGACGGTGGTGAAATCGTTCGGTCGTTTCATCGGTTGCCGAAGGGCGGTGAGGGTTCCTGAGCGGCTTAACATGGAATAGTCTAACGGTGAACATTGCAAACCTCCACAATATAGGTTTATCCGGTAGACCTGATCGACAGTTGCCCCCAGGGAAACTATTTTATTACGTTGTCTAGGTGAATAAATTTTGCATGAAAATTTTCCCCGTGAAAGCCTTACATCTGGATGTGTGCAAATCCTATATGATAACGCAATTTGTTTACATGTTCACTCATTTTTGTACGCTAAATGGCGTATGTCGTCCTTGAAACGTACATGGTGTTGGGGAAGAGTGAACAATCTTGTGTTCTGTCGTGAAATCTGTTCTTTCAAACTGCTTTCGTATATTTGTGAAAATAGATGAAACTGTTATGAACAATGCTAATGCGGACGTGGAAGACCATAGAAAGCTGTTTGGGTTTTTTGGATGTATGATAGAATTGAAGGAAGGGGGTATTTGGAACGAGTGGACTACCGATCGCCAAGCACACTTTATCCGATCATACAACGGATAATTCCTGGATCCATCATTTACTCCGATGAATGGGAAACTTACAGAACCCTGGTCCGACTATGTAAAATCAGTAGACTAGGTTGCGTGGTTCGATCTTTTGATTTTCGCCGGGGTACGAATGGTGCAAACTATCAACCACTGAGTTCTATTCCAGTTTGGTCAAAATAATCACCAACAATTGAATTTGTTTTCATTGAGGACGAAGGAGTAGTCATCTTTGATCTGTGTGATGAGTGATTCAAGGGGAAAAGCTAACTGAAATGGTCACTCCGTGGACTTCTTATCAAGCGAGTATTGAATATGATGGCCTGGCCGGATCAGTCATGATGACGTCAATTGTAAGCCGCTAGGTATCAGAGCGTCTGCCATTTGCCTTGTATGTACAATACAGTGTAATTAGTCCGGGGTTCGTTGAAGGAAGTCTAATTTATATAAATCGGTAACTAAATGGATAGTCTTAGTCACTGCATCTTCTTACTTCATGTTCAACGGTCATTGTTAGGCTTTTGTCCCTTCGAATTTCAAACATCAGGTGAAAGTGTGGATGCGATCATGAACTGTTGCATAACCTGTTAACATTTCGCGACATACGTCTTCTTCCAGTTTTGATCCGATCAAACTATACCGTCGGCTACATAGTGATTGGAATTTCATTGAAGTTATGTTTCCCCTGAACTTTATCACTTTGGGGGGGAACGAATGCAATCGCCTAATTTTGGGCATTCAAAGGCACAAAAGCTTAACAGTTTTCTACGAACCGGATTGGCTTAGAGTGGAATAAATATGTTAAGGAATACGCCAATGATGACGGAAGAGTTAAGTAATAATGAAAAAAGCTTGTGTATTCAATCGTCCAGCTCAGTTCAGAGAAGAACAAGCATAACTGCTTTCCACCTTTGTGATGGATAGCTCATTTACACAGTCTTTCGTGGTACCAGTCATTCGGGAAATAGGCTGCAAACTGGCATCCGCGGTGCCAATGAACCTGTTCTCTTATCTGACACTCAGCAACACCGCGGGTTCTACTTTGTAGCATAGTTCCCGGGTTGCTCATGGATTTGTCATTAGAGGCAACTCTTCCTCACGGATAAGAAAGTCACCGATCATTATTAAGACAATCGCGGATAGAATACTTTACCTACCTCTATTTAGTACCTCATGGAACACCCAGTACAGAATTATCGTCGTTTGTGGGATCATGGATAACTTTAACTCATTCTTCTCAACACCTGTCTCATTCACTAAACAGATGTAATCAGGCTGTGAAATGGTGCGACGGGTTGGTCAATGATACAATAAGGATAAGAACCTATGCAATGAAGCTGAGTGGCGAAAGGGAAAGCTACAGGTAACAGATTTTTGCCAGTGGCATTATAGATTGAATGTACTAATCAGTCCGGGAATGGCAGAGAAAAATGTGATTTGTGTTAACTAGTTAATAAGTTCGAATTTGATCTTACTATTTAGGTGAAATAATGGTAACTCTTTGATTGCATCCTTGTATCATTATTAAATATCTTGTCAACTGTGCATTTCAATGACATAAATATGTAACCGATTGCATTTGGTTCAAAGGAATCGGTTTTATTCGAGAGAAAATCGGCCTCAATGAAATTTACTCATTGGTTTATTGCGGGCCTAGAATGAATCCACTCATGCAATGATTCATACAAACATTCACCTCTGAGCATGGTGACCGATTTATTGATCCGTCTTGGCGCGATTTGCTCCTTTACCCGACAGACCGAGGTCAGTTACCGCCGGGTTCGTTCATTCGTGTCTATGACGCACTCGATCAACACGGCGTCGTCTTTCGTACACCTCAGAACCAGCTCTCAGGTTCACTCAGCGGAATCCGGTCGTTTTATATTTCCCTTTGCATTCAACTCGATCCATTTATTATATCTTCTCTGCAAATTGGAGTCCTTGGGTTACCGGGTACCCATTCATGTTTGACAAATTAGTTCACAGTGAGAATTCGACGTACCGAGTTGGATAGGATATGATCTCCCTCAGACCTAATCGACACCCCCCCCCCAGTTCAACTTTTTTGTTCCCTTGTTTAAGGGAATGATTTTCACACAGAAATGTTTCCCGTGAAAATATAATATTCGAATTATCCGTCCAACCTACAGAGGCGTATGACATCCACCAATTAGCAGGTTAGTTGATCGCCCCGACAAGTTTTCCTTAGAATTCTCCGGGAGTCCACCGAATGAGCAACAAGTTTCATTGTGCAAGTGGGTTCGAATCCCACCGAGGCTACTGAACTTTTCACAATCGACATAACAATTTCAATATCTGCCAAAACAACCATTTACAAAAATATAATAAACAAATTAGATTTTTAGACGTGTTAATCATATATTAAATTGTGCCCACTGTGGTGCCCATGGACGGATAAGTTTTTCAATGCTGTGTAAGAGAAAAGTGTCTATTCGAACAGGCACTTTCATCAAGAAATCTAAAATATCGCAACTTCTTCTTGTGGATCTAATAGCAGACAGTTAATAGCTCCGTTAGGCGTAGGTCGGACCATTTCGATGAACCCCAATACCGATATGGTTTTTATGTGAGCGCATTCACCGTAAGGGAGCTGTCGTTCCGGTCTACCACAAATACTTCTAATGCACTACAAGTTGCTGTCCTATTCGCTTGTTTTTTAAATCTGTGTTATTCTCGATTTGTTTAACTCAGAGTGTACAGTGATCGGTGATCGTCCGCTTTTCATACGACATTGGTCTCTTTTTAGCCTGTCAGTTTCTGAGACATTTATCGACAACCGAAAGGAATTTTCTCTGAGAGTTCGTCATTTGTAATCAAACTACCAAATGAGCAGAGTTTTCGTTGTTCGCAAAGTGACAGATCGTAGGATGAGTCGAGTATCATTATGTCTTTGCTCACGTCGAATTCCGGGAATTTTAAGTGTTTAGATCACAAAACTGATGTATGAATAAATCTATAACCGAGAATAACCTAATAACGGATAATGAACTCGAGATCCTTATTCCATTAACCTCAGCTTGATGAAACTATAATTAGTATGTGTTTGAAAAAGAATGATGTGGATGGTGAGTTCAAAGTGATTTGGCTACTCCATCTGGAACAAGCCGTAGAACACAAGTTAAGATGCTATCCGGCTGTTCCGAGTATATCCAGTGAAACTTTGAAACAAAACAAGGGTGGAAGTTTTGTGTTATACCTAGTTTACGAAGTAGTCTGAAAGAAAAGGATTTGTCCAGCGTTGTGACGACCGATTTCGACGGTGAAAGTTTGGATTAGCCCATTCAATTTTTCATAGGCACCAGACATTGATATTGGGTATGGGTTTCAATCCCTGGTAGATCTTTAATTCCCTACCGGTTAAATGCATTTAAATGCGAAGGAAGTTTTAGTGCTGACCGACAAAGAGCACAGGACCCAATGTCATCACTTGTGCTCGGTGCCTGTGAATGGGCTGACCCAAACATTCACCGTCTAAATTGATTGAGCCGTTCGCACAGGGTGATGACCGTCGACTGCGTAGCTTAGGGGTAGGGGCTTGAAGTTCCGACCCGAAGTTTGGCGGTTCCAGTCCTGTCAAGGATACACAAGGTACGCACTACTGACCAGTCCCCAAACAGGACGAAACAGCTACCCAGTGCTCTTTGTCGGTTATCACAAACATTTCCATTGCGACGACCAGTTTGACATTTTGGTTATCGATTGAAATCGTCTAGTCAAAATTAATTTTCCTGTTAGGTTATTTCAATGCAAAGGTGTCACGAAATCAATGGTTTTGAAAGCACTGGACAGTTGTTTTGCCGGTACTGAATTCAAAAACACTACAGAAGCAAAGTTTTACTAATTTAAGATTGCGTTCGATGAATTGCTTGAAGAGGACTGACTTTGAGCATCAATTATAGATACATCCGATCACACAGCAGCAATTCTTAGGAAACATTATGCATGTGATTAAGTTAATATGCGTGAAAATAATTAGTTGCGCAGCTGCATAGAAAGCACCCTTAGCGTCCAGTCACAGTCTAAAACCAATTTAGCAGGGTTGGAGCCACTAGTCTCGAACTAATCATCGTCATAGCCTGGTTTTTACACCACTACATACTATTTTTCCAGTTGTCAGAGTGGATGGAACCATAGGATGAAAGACGAGAGGCTTAGGACGATCATCAAGTTTGGTATAAACACATTGACATACAAGATGGATTCGTTATTCAACACTAGCGTGTCTCTCCTGGCCCTGAGGTAGAGACAAACAACTTATCACCCTGGAGAACATGTGTT